TGAAATTGGTCCTGATTTTATGTCAACTATGGAAACAACTAAAGGAGTATCGGATGTGTTTCCTGAGTTTCTCTATTGAGCACAATCTCATACGAGTTTTGAGTGTCTATGGTCATGGGAGCTGTTGGCTGAGTAGTAATCCGAGGTCTACTTTTTTGTTCAGAAAATAACTAATAAATTTCCTGCTTCCCATTGTCCACTTTTGTTTGTAGCTACCATACTTCCAGTGGTTAAGAAGCAGCACCAGCTTCTTGTGACTTTGCTCCTATGTAATGCTGCTTCCATGGAGGTAATACTAAAATATCTGCTTGAAAGCCTGAATATCCTGCTTAAAAGAAGAAAGTTATGTCAAATATCTTGGTAGAAGGAAACTTTCAATTTGTCTTGGTGTAGTGAAATGAAAAGTAGGATAGTACTGATGAACTCGGCTAAAATTTTTGTGTCATGATGACTTACCCTTTATCTGTTTGACTATCTGTCGTCTAATTTGCAGGCCCTTCCAATATACCTGGACAAGCTTTTCAATCAATTTGTTGCAATTATATTGTCTGTGACTTTTGTTCTAGCATTTGGAGAGGTAAATTGGATCAAACTGCTATTGGATTACAAGTCATCGGTACCTTTTGTCTTCATTCCGTCATTGCAAATTACAATCACCAATTTCTGGTTAGGTCATTCCTCAAGCAATATGCACTAGATATGGACTTGCAGTTGGCGCAAATTTTATTTGGCTCGTGCGCATTCTTATGATCATTTGCTATCCAATTGCTTATCCTATTGGAAAGGTACATATTGTGCTACTCAAGTGAAATTATCTTTGATAACAAAGCAGATTTGACATTTGCAATCTACTTCATTCCCAAGTCAAGATGGGTACCACACATAAAGTCTGGATGAAATCTCTTTTCATTATTTCATCCAGTATCTGGGTGTGCCCCGTGTCACTCTCCTTGTTACGTATGCTATCTAGAAGCTTTATTTCTAATGGGTCAATTGATATACAACCATCATGCTTCCCGTGCCTTAATTTATATATGTCGGTTGATCTGTATGTCTTGGTCTATATGGTAGCTTCTAAAGGAGATTTCGTCTTAGTAGGCTGTACAGAAAAGCCCATGGGATTTGAAAGATGTCCCTCTATCATTCCATTAAAATCACAGCCAATTTATCATGGATGTACTTGAATTGGTGTGGTTACAGATTCTAGACTGTTTGTTGGGACACAATGAAGCACTGTTTAGACGAGCTCAACTGAAAGCCCTTGTCACTATCCATAGTCAGGAGGTCAGTTATGTTGCAATTATTGACATTAACTCAAACAGAGTTATAGGATGCCAATCTTCAGTAGCTTTTTCTTGTGAGAAAATGTGCTATAGTTGACATGTGCAGGCTGGTAAAGGAGGTGAGCTTACGCATGATGAGACAACGATTATCAGCGGAGCACTAGATTTGACGGAGAAGGTACTTCTGACAACAAAACTATCTTATTAAGAAGTATAGTTCTATATTTGTTTGCTAACTTGTTTGTCCTTCTTTTCACTTAAATACCTCCTGAATCATGACACAGCACACAGACACACATCCTAGTTGAACAAGCATTTTCTTATTTAAACTTTAGCATGTAAGTGCTTTGAATTTGGTTTCTGCAAAAGTATGGGGATTGAAATGAAGTTGGTTTTAGAGAATTTCTTCTTTTAAACTCTTTGCCCCTTCATGATATTTAACCATGATGTTAAAGCTGATTCATATGCAACTATTGTTAAAATTGTTATAGGGTAATTAACTTTATACTACTATTCCTCAATTACTTGCCACAGGAGTCGTTCATTTCTAAAATTTAAATTTTCCTTTTCATTCTGGTTGACAGACTGCTGAGGAGGCCATGACACCTATTGAGTCAACATTTTCACTGGACGTCAACTCCAAATTGGACTGGTAATGCTGAAATCCATGCTTCAGCTAATACTAACTATATGATCAGACTGTGTGCTTGTGTCTATGTGATATGGTAAATAAATTTGGATTTTCATTGCAAGTTTCATAAAGATACGGCTCGTATAGTTGATTAGAGTAACTGCTTTTAAATAATATGTTTTCGTGGTCATGAAAATAATACAAACAAGTGTTTGTCTCCATTCTTCCAAGAATTGAGCCTGGAGGGCACCCATGGTGAGGAAGGAGAGAGTTTATATTGATCTTGACACCTATTTCTTTGAAAAAAAGTCTTTTCTTTGCTTTGAAAAACAGTCTTTTCTAAGTATATGAATTGTGGTTGCAGAAGGGCTTGTCTGCTTGATTTTTACTCTTGTTGGCTCCATGCATGCTTTCTCGATTGATGATATTGCATTTTAGTCATTGTTGTTAGATTGATGGTCCAATCCATGGCTCTATGCAAAGTAGAAATAAAAAATGCAGAGGGTAACAAACTTTTCCCCGTTTGCATTAGGGAGGCCATGGGAAAAATTCTTGCTCGTGGTCATAGCCGAGTTCCTGTATACTCTGGGAATCCAAAAAATGTTATTGGACTTCTACTGGTAAAGAGTCTTCTTACTGTTCGGCCTGAAACAGAGACTCCAGTTAGTGCTGTATCTATCCGAAGAATTCCACGGTATGGATACTAATCTTGTACCCTAGGCATCCAATTACCAAAATTTTAAGAGTCAAAGTGGTCATTTAAAAGGTTTCAACCCCAGGGTACCCTCAGATATGCCTCTATATGACATACTAAATGAGTTCCAAAAGGGCAGCAGTCATATGGCTGCTGTGGTGAAGGCTAAAGGGAAAAGCAGACATGTTCCACCAACAGTAGATGAAGGAAAATCTGAAGGTAATGCTGTGAGTAGCGGAAATTCTCGCCTAACTACCCCTCTGCTATCAAAGCAGGATGAGAAGTCAGAAAGCGTTATTGTTGACATTGAAAAGCCTTCAAGGCCGGCCTCAAATCACACACTTACATACAGCGAGGCAGTGACACATGGCTTGCCTTCTACAGTAGATGATGTTGAAGAGGGCGAAGTAATTGGTATCATCACTCTCGAAGATGTATTTGAAGAGCTCTTGCAGGTCACTTATATTTTGTTGATTGATACTGCCATCTTCCGCATGATTTGTTTATATGGCACTAAAAAGAAATTACGCTTTTTGGTATGTGCAGGAGGAAATTGTAGATGAGACAGATGAATTTGTTGATGTACACAAAAGGTTCTACTGATTGGTGCTTAATTATATGCTAGTATAATGATGGACTGTCTGAAGAAACAATACAACCTTTTCACTGTTTTGCAGAATACGTGTTGCTGCTGCTGCGGCTGCTTCATCAGTGGCACGTGCACCATCAATTCGGAGGTTAACAGCCCAAAAAGGATCTGTAAGTCACTGAAGTTTACAACATCTCACTGAAATTTTTGAGAAATTTGCTATTTAACCAATTGTTTTAGATTTCAAAATGGCATGTCCAAATGGATAAAGTAGCAGCTTCTGATAATGTGTCACAATCTCAGTAGGGATTTTGGCAGAGGAAAAATAAATCTCATATTTTCCTCTATTACATGCACTGTGATACCGCTAAAGGTGCAAGGCTGAGTCTTTTAATTTAATTTTCCCCCCTTTTTTCTATACTGTTGCCTGAAAGTCACATCAACAAATTATGCAACTTGCATTTTCAGGTGAGAGGTTTCTGTTGTTCTTAAGGCCCCATGCAGTAGGTATCATATAACCAGTCAATTCCAAGATAATTTAGGTGCCTGTAATCTGCTGCAGAGGTGATAATTAGGTGCACTGTCTGAAAATACGGATCTAATAAGTATCACCAGTTGAATAGAGATTATGGATGGCCAAAAGTTTATGTAAGACAATTTTCTTAAACAAGACAAATACTTCGGCTAATGAAAAGCTCCTTAAAGCACTAGCTGGAAACATTTGCTCTGCTTGAACCTTTAGGTAAGCACTATCTTCCTGACCTGCAAACCCCCTTGTATAAGAGATGAATGTGCATCTACATTTTTATTTCATTTTTTGACAGTTAATGGTATTGTGTGGTGCATGATGTTGTTAGACTCCAAATACATGAGTATTGTGAATCAACAACACTATTTTCTGAAGCATTGGATTCTCGTACGGTTGATTTCATAATCCATTTGATGCTTTCCTGATTTGACTAATCTTTCTGTGTAAATTACATGATAGTGAGAAACTTCTTATTATGTGATTTGTTGTACAAGTATGTGAATATGGTTTTTTGTCTATGTAAATTACATTATAGTGAGAAATTTCTTATTATGTGATTGTTGTACAAGTATGTGAATATGGTTTTCTGGTCATGTATTTACTTTCCCACAGTAAAGAGGTTAGATAGAAATTTACAAGCGGTTTGTTGTTAAAATCTCTTGCTGCTGGAAATTTACTTTTTCCTTTACACTGAGGAAAACAAACTTCCTGACGTTGGAAACAATTTTATATTCCTCAGGCAGGCCAACTTAAGCAAGGTAGTACGCCAAGAAAGTCTGGTGAGGTTGATTCTTCATCAACGAAATTGCAGGGTAATATTGGAGAGCCTCTTCTTGGCGATAAGAGATGATACAGACAGAGCTCGTAATTTGGTGGCTTCCTGAGAATATACAGTGGCACCCAGAGAGTACAAAACGTAGTAGGTGACTGAGAGGTGGATTAATATTTGTCCATCATTATGTAGTCCTGAAACTGCATATAATTTTTTTATGTACGTTTTGACGAAAATTTTGCCATATGTTTAGATAAATATGATACTGGAGCTTTTAAGGTCTATGTGATTTGCGGATTCTTGCATAGCTACACAGTGACTATATTAATACCTCTTAGAGAATGGAATACATGATATCAATGATCTTCCACTGAAAAGTTATCTTCCTCGAGTTAGAGAAAGTAATTCAGCATATATGAGTGCATTTTACGTGTAAATTGGCCAGGTTTTAAAGTGATAAAAAAAAAAGGCATATGTAGCAGTCTCCGGCTATTGGAGAGAATTACTGAATTGAGGGATATTTTATCACAAGCTTTGAAGTTTGAAACTAGAGTGTTCACTGCTGTAGCCCAGGGGATCCGTTTGCGCTAAAAACAACGGTGAAATTTCAGATGATCCGTTTCATAGCACATCTCGAGCATGTAGATTTGGCATGTGGTACCTGACTGAAGTTTAGTGAAGGGAGGAGGGGAGGGGTATACAGAAAAGATTACATCTACATCATGCTAAGTAACATAAATTTCACATAGCAGCTGTGGTAAATCATCATGATCACAAGCTTTCTGGGAGTTCATCTTTCAGATTTCCTGGCTTTGGCTCTCCTATTTCTCATGCTGCCCAACTATCCATATAGCACCGCCTATAAGTTAGCTTTGTCGTCTGTTACATAGTCCTCCTTTTGCATAGCTTTCTTGTATGTTACACAGTCCTCCTTTTGCACTAGATGATCCTTCAGAGGTCAAAGCGTCACAAGTCATTCCACTGCAGTAGAAGTATTGAACACTTCCATATTATATAGAGGCGGGTACGCTGCTCCTGGATGTACCTCGAACACCTCTGCCATGACCAAAACCTTCTTTGCTTTCTGCTAAAGATTGACTGCTCAGCCATGGATAGAAAAACTGAAAGTACTATAAGAACTAGTTGAGATCTTTAGTACTAGCAAGAGATGAGAAATGTATATACAAATGTAGTCAAGATTTTGTGTTTAGATGATCAGTGTAGAGAAGAGATGCACTTGTATATATAAGGTGAATGATGAAATATCAAATATGTGGTGGTCAACAGATGTTGGCCCCTCATTGGGTTGAATTGAGGACAGCATGCAAGGGTCCCATTGTTCACCAAAAGATGAATAAGCAGAGTCATCAGGTTGTCTTCCTGCCTTACAGAGTGAATGGCAATATCTGTCAGTTTACAGCAACATATTTGTCTCTCTGTGTTAAGATATAGATATTAATTCCAGAATCCTAGCAAAAGAGGCATTAAAATGGATATTTATTCCAGAAAATTCGGATAGTGTTGGACAAGGGTACTGTGAAAAATGTTCAGAAGATTATTCGCATACAAGGGGAGAAGAAAAAACAATAAAAACGCTAAGGAAGCAAGACCTGCTTCAAGAAGATTCATTTGTCACATTAAAAGAGTTCCTCTTGCATTTAAAGATTTTGGCACAAGTGATGAATTCCTAAGATATCATTATAAGCTTCAGCACAACTTGCCTGTGAAAATAGCATGACTCTTGCTGATTATTCTTCTTTTGTGACTTCCAGCATCCTTGAGACAATATCAAGGTGTTGGAGTTCGAATTTTGAATCAAATACTGAGGATATTTACCACGCCCAGGCTCTTAGGAAAAAGCAAATGTATGTCAAGTAGAGTTTTCAAAAGACACAGCATAACATGTGATTCTTTCATTGTCTGTGTGGGGACTTTAACAAGTTACTGTCACTCATCAACTAACTTATAGTCTCTTCCCAGGTAGGAAATACTTCAGTATTTAACCATTTCGCATGGTTAAATGCTAAGTAGTCCCGCACGAAGTGCAAGCAAATGAAGGAAATGGATACAAATTAACTACATGTAAGTTGCATGCTTCACTTTGTATGCCCAAAAAGGAAAAAAAAAAAAGGAGAAGAAGAAGTTGCAGACGTTTGCCTGACTGCTTCGAAGAAGAGGAAGTTCACCTTTATACAAAGTTGCAGGCACGTCCAAAATAATGAATACTGAGACATAATTTTTGCTTCTCAAGTAGGAACTCAGAAGATTTGCATGCATGCATGCTTGAAGACGTAGATGCATGTCATCTAACATCTCTGCATGCCATACTGAAGAAGAGAATGACATCCCAATATAAAATACAATACCATGCTCAAGCATCATTTAAAGTGGGAGAAACATTAAGCTCACTGGCAGCCAAGAAACTTGCAATAAAAACAAATGGGGAACTAATTTAATATAGAATGAATAAATGGAAACACTCATTTAAGACTACAGGTGAAACATTTGAACAGAACTTTTCATTACCATTTAAAAACATATGAACAAGTATATATATACTACTCACAAAGCTGAACAGATTCTGAAAAATCTATAACAATTACAGTGCTCATCCTGCTTGTAAAATCTAAGGGTACTTTTCATCCCAACACAATAGCATAGTTATGCACACCCTTATAATGTAGAGCCTCCCCCTGAGTTGTCTCACTATTCTTCTCCACTTGCCAAATCTCTTTCCCATAAATCTTCCAGCAGGTAAGTCCTTACATGCACTAAACCAAGCTTTGCTGCAACTGAGGCCTAATTATTGTGATTGTTAGCTTAAATAGTGTGTGCAAAAGGACTGGACTTCGATAGCAGTCAAATTGGATCCACATGTAGATTTTTGGGGGTTTACGCGCACTTTGTAGTTAGTGGGGACTTCTTGTACCCTCAGAATCAATTGGCTTCACGTGCCCTTATCTATCTTAACTCAAGCTAACATCTTCTCAATCAGTTGAGACTTGCCTGCCACTTATCATTGCCGCCCGTGTTTACTAAAGGACTTGTATCCAGGTCCTGAACTTGCAATGAACCGTGTATTGGTCCCTACCTTATTGCTGCAATGAGAAGAACAAAACCCTCCTTGACCAAGACACCTTCTTGAAGATTCTCTAACTAGTTAGCAATTCTTCAAACATCCAGGAAAACAATAACGTGTGCAAGAAGAGGATTTCTTAACAATTATTGATTTGACTCGTTACTATGCATTTAATAATACCATCAAAACATTGTGTACATCTGGCAATTCAAGACATATACTTTTGCTTGTGTTGTAAAACTAGATTGATAATTCAAGACATGTACTTGCTAGGGAACAAAGAGTTTTGTGTTTAGGATCAACTTTATAATAAAAAACAAATAGTGTAAACAGATTGAATTAATCCATATGTTGATGAATCCAAGACCCTCTTCCCCATAGTGGTAACCCTTGACTATGAGCGATCATCAATTTCAACTTGCCCCTACCAAGAAACAGTAAGATAAGGTACGAACTTTGAACCATGTCCCACTCTCATTTGCAAAGAATGGCAAGAAACAAGAAGGGTTCACTTCAATCTTTATCGTAATGAAGAAGATCAAAGATAAGATCCTTTATATTATCAGTCTAACAGAGAAATCTTGGTGGACCTCTAGGATAGAAAGTATTGATAACGAGCTATCACATAGGCTTCAATTAAAGATAATGTGGTTGATACAACTTAAGGACCCTTTGGGAGTTCAGGTCCAATGCCAATTGAGGACACACATTTAGCTTAGCTCCCTTGCTGTCTGATGGCTTGAAAGACAGGTGGCAGAATGTTATTGGGGAATGTTGACAAGTTGGAGACAACTTGAATGTTTGTGCTTTATAGGTTATTGAACTGAAAAGCAAGAAAATGAGAAAAATCTGTAAGTGTGGGGGAATGTTTTCCTGTTGCAATTTTTGCTTTCTTGGTGGGAAGTACAATAATGGATGGAGATGAAGTAGTTAGTAGTATGTAGTCCAATGACATGACTAACTGAGACACTACAATCACAACATTCCCTTTCAAGGGACAGGATAAGAACTGACAAGAGGAAAAGAGATTCTAACTATGCAGAAAGAGGGGAGAGTAAAAGCCAATCTTCATCTTGTTCGTTTATTATCTGTATAACGAAAACTAAAACTCAATAATCAATGGGGAAATAAATGGGATGTGATAACTGACAGGAGAGGTTGGGAAGACCAATCCATGATAGTGAAGGAGGAGGAGGTATATTTGGGGTCTTGGTTAGGTGAAAGGAAGGAAGGAAGTAAATTGTCAAAATCATGTATATTGACAGTCTAATTACTTATCTAGGAGCGGTGAAAAAAATGCGTTAAGCCATTTCTAGAATTCACTTTTCACAGTAGATATGTTTAATATGTGTAAATTCTACCATACTGGAATGATAAAAACTTGCAAAGGTTTTCAACTCTATATCACCCTATGGTTCCATTTAAGATAGATCATATCCTAATTACACACATAGAGGGATACGTGGTTGAGCCTAGTAATGGTGAATATCAGATACTGTAGAGGAATTCAGGGGCATCTTGATTGTTGAGATGAAGAGTAAAATTGTTCCTAAAGCTTTGTGAGTCTCATTATCAGTAGTAGTCTACAGGAATACCACAGGCTTAGCCATTTTGGACCCTAACATTTACTACCATACGTGGACTTAGTACATATACAGGAGCCAAGTCAGTGAATGACCCAATGAAGATTACTCGTTAGGGCACATGAGTACAGCTGAAAATAGTTTGATGGCATATGATGTAGGAGAATGGAAACAGGGAAGTGCGGACAAGGAGCAGGAACGGACGGTTTTGGCTATTTTTAATGGCGCGTAATTTTGGTTGCACATAGCGTAATTTTATTTACATAATGTGTAACTTTTATACAAAATTTTATAAATTTCACACACATTATGAAAATCAATGTACAACTAGTGATCTGGATCATATATATATTTTTTTCTGGCCAAAATCTGGCCGTGAATAGTTCAGGAGCAGTCGTCAGAGACCGCTCGTGCCCCTCACCGGGAAAGTGCAAAAAGAAAGACAATTAGATGTACTAGATCACTAGTCTAGATCTGGTAAAAGAAACAGGCAGTGGACCAGACCAACTAGTGAATAGTGATGAAAGTACAAGTTTTCAAAGAATGACAATTAGATGTACTCATCCTTTACCAGCAAATTTTCTAAGTCACCCCAGGTCTCCAACAGGCGAGCAATGTTGCACAACCATTGGTCCATTTTTTTTTTTTCCAACTCAAAGCAATTGACTTTTGCCAAATGAAATAAACCTAATCCCAGAGTTAATACCAAAAGCTGGCAACTCTTGGTACAATCCTAGGGACTTATTTACCCAACTAACCCAACTCTCCGACCCGATGTGGGATAAACTACTCTAGGTGTTCCCAACCTAAGCTAAGAACCCTGGCACATGAACTAAGCATGCTAATCCTAACGAGCAGTTTGTCTTTTTTCGACTCAAAGCAATTGACTTTTGCCGAATGAAATAAACCTAATCCCAGAGTTAATACCAAAAGCCGGTAACTCTTGGTACAACCCCGAGGACTTATCTACCCAACTAACCCAACCCCCGACCCGACGTGGGATAAACTACTCTAGGTGTTGCTTTCTAAGTTTCTGTATGCATGGTAAAAGTAGAATTACTTGCCTGTGCATTAGCTATTATTGCACCCTTTTGTCCAGAGAGAAAAACTACAAAATTTCCTGATTAATTTTGAAGGTCTTGGGATTAGCTTACGCTTTGTCAATCTGAAATCCTCTCGTACCAAAGTAGTTCATTAACTTGCACTTTATACCTATCAAATTATCCTCCTATAGTAAGGAAGAACTAAGTACAAATGTACAATACTTGAAACAGGAAGCCAACGTAATTTTCCAAATCATAGGAGTCCTGACTACATTTCTAGCAAACTTGAGGGAGGTCCTGCAATTCAAGAATTTTTTTTTTTCGCGTTCACGGTTCTACCTTCCAGCTTGACTGAACACGTCTCATGACCCTCATCCCTTGTTTGAAGAATTGGACAATCAGCTCCATAGAACAGATATTCACGCAGAAGGGACACTAATCAAATCTACGCAAAAGAGAAGCAAGAAAGATGTCGTGCTTGGCATCATGCTGTGCATCTCTGACATGTGGGCTCTGCTCTTCAGTGGCCTCAGGGATCAGCAAGAAGTCAGCTAGACTTGCTTACTGTGGCCTCTTTGGCCTTTCCTTGATCATTTCTTGGATTCTACGTGAAGTTGGTGCTCCACTCTTGGAGAAATTTCCTTGTAATTTCCTCAAAATACCTTTTTTTCCCTCTTTTTGTGAAATCTTTGTCCATTTTCATTAATTTTCTTATCTGGGTTCTTTTCCTTTTTCCGACATATCTAATATAAGATGTTTATTCACAGTGATAAAAAATCTCACTTTCTTAGTTGAACTTGATTGGTGAATTTAATCATTTTACCGATATTTCTGACGGGTTCTTGTTATTTATGACTCATTTGAACTGAGGTGATTAGACAACTTATTATCTTCTTCAATATTAAGTTCAGGGCAACTGACGAGATGGTGTTTGATCTTGTCAAAGAATTCCAGTAATTTGTTGATTTGGGATTTTTTCCTTTGGAATTTGTGAGCTTCTTTTCGGTTTTCTTCTAGCAATTTATTCTTTTTGTGAGATATCACAAGGTGGAAAAAAGGAAAACTGGATTCTTATCTATGTTTTGCATTTCCTGGTGCTTTTGTATTCATTTGTCAAATATAGAGCGGAAATCCTGAGTTTGTTTCCACTGTGAGATCAAGGAAATTATGAGAGGGGATAAAGTTAAAGAGTTTTAATGGGGGAGCCATCTTAGAAGAAAAAGATATCTATAATAGAACGGAAGGGTTTTAGAAGTGTCAATGGTTTTTTATAAAGGAACAGACTTTCTTTAATTTTTTTGACTTATTTGGGAGGATTTACTAAGAAGCAGAATCTTCTTAAGAAGACAGAACTAAGCAACTACATGCAAGTGGTGATTGTCTCCATGGTTTCAACATAAGCTGTATCATGGTAACAACATAACAGCATTCTGAGAATTGCTAGTTTTGTCAGACTAGTTCAATGAGATATGACCCTCGCTAGTTGGTTAGGATAAACACTATCTAGTTTCTTTCTGTAGTTGTTGAATGATAATGGCAAAAAGCTACTTTCTTTGCCATTGAAAGTGATAACAATAACATAAGAAGATCTGCCTATGCGTTCGAAAATTCCAGGAAAAGAATACTTGATGCATTTTCCTTGCAACATTATCTGAGTTCTTAGACTCCTTTCCATGTTACTCTCTTTTAAGTTATGCATTTGAGCTGAGTTCTGCAAAGACTCAAGGGCCCCTGTTTTCTCTATAATACTATTAGTGCGTTGAAGGCAACCCAAGTTGGACTTTCATTCTTTGCTTGTAACTTCTGTGTTCATTTCAAATTGCCTTTGTGATGAACCAAGTTGTGACAGCAGTGTAAATGGAGTTCTATGCTTACTAGTTGAACCTATATCCAGAAGCCCCTATTCTCCGCCAAATCCTTGTTTTTAGTTGTTTAAGTCATCTGCAGATATAAGTCTATATCTTCATGCTATTTACCAAAATATTGATATTTTTATTTCCTTTATGTTGTTGGTTTTTGTTGGTGCTCCCAAACTAAGGAAATGTGTTGTAAAAATTCTGATTTTAAAGTCTCAGAAATATTATTGGGAATCGATGTAGAAAAAGAAGTCCATT